AGCGTTCCAGAACGCGCTGAGAAGGCCGTGGCGCCCGATACATCCTCCAGAGCCGCCAGATCTCAGAGGCTCGATTTGTCCTCACCCGAATTTATCCTCGTCCTGGCTTCGTCTTACCGTCCTGCTCCCCTCGTGGGCAACGATAGGGGGACAGGCACAGGGCTATGATGTTCCAGCCTGCCGTAGCCTTGATCACCAGAAGGAGTTTCGAGCATCAAGAAGGTACCGGAACCGGAACTGGATGGTTTTCACGTGCCGGTCTTTGGGAGGCGATAGTCGGTCGACATTTCGCCAGCGTGTCAGGCAGACATTGTTTCGATACGTCTTCGGGTGCTCGAAATTATTTCTGGGATGTAGTCTTTGAGGACGATGGGGGCAACAGAAGCATAGGGGGATGCATCGCTCTCTAAGGGTTGATATATCGACGATGCATCCTTGGTATCAGGGCGATGCCTTCCACTATGTGCATATATATAGGGTATGTATGGAGCGGTCTGCAATGACCCCTTATCCCCGTCCAGGCCTCTCAAATGGTGTCGGAGGATCGCGCCGCGTCGCCGATGCATCCACAATGCGTCTAAATTCTGTATTCGTTGTTTTTACGAAGACGCCTACGGCGAATCACCGCCGCCCCCTGCCGCTTTGGAAGCGCCTCTGTGGCCGACAGCTGGGCCAGAGCTTGGCCAAGCTATCGGGCCAGTTGTTCCCCGAGTCGGTTTGGAAAGACTTCGGGGAACGCATGTGGGAGCAAGAAGAGGAGGAGGGGGAGGATGAGGAACAAAAATTGAGGAGGAGGAAGAGGAGGCCTCTTAGGCGCCTCTTGGGCACTCTTGGGGCCTCCTTGGAGCTTCCTGGTGGCCTCTTGGAGGGTTTGGGGGGGCCTTTGGGGGCTTGGGGGCTTCTTGGGGGCCTCTTTGGCCGTCTTTGAGCGTTCCTGGCTTGACTGACGCCGTCGGAAGCCGTCTTGGGGGCCTGTCTGGGTCGCCTTGGGGCCCTCTTGGGGCATATCACGGGTTCTTACAGGCAATCTCGGGCGTCTTGGACGCCTCTTGTGCAGTCTTGGGGTCGTCTTGGGGGCCTCTTGGGCCGTCATGGGGCTATCTTGGAGGCGTCGTGGGCGATCTTGGGACGATCTTTGGGGCCTCTTGGGCCGTCTGGAGCCGTCGGAATGCCGAGAAGAAGCAAATTCCAAAATCCTTCGAAAACCTCAGGACTATCAATGATTTTGGCCTCTTCGGGCCCTCCTGGAGGACCTCTTGGAGGCCTCTTGGGTGGCTCTTGGAGGCCTCTTGGGGCCTCTTGGGCCGTCTTGGGCCATCTTAGGCCGTCTTGGGTGCATCTTGGGCCGTCTCGGAGGCACCTTGGGGCCATCTCAGCCGTCTTGGACGCCATTTTGGCCGTCTTGGAGGCCTCTTGGGCCCTCCTGGGGCCGCCCTGGGGGCCTCTTGGGCCGTCTCGAGCCGTCGGAATGCCGAAAAGAAGCCAATACCAAAATCCTTCAAAAACCTCGGGACAATCAATGATCATGGCCTTTTCGGGCCCTCCTGGAGGACCTCCTGGAGGCCTCTTGGGCCGTCTTGGAGGCCTCTTGGGGGCCTCTTGGGCCGTCGCATGCTATCTGGAGGCCGTCTCGGGCCGTCTTTGGGCTATCTCAGGCCGTGTTGGAGGCATCTTTGGGCCATCTTAGCCGTCTTGGAGGCCATCTTGGGCGCCTTGGAGGCCTCTTGGGCCGTCTTGGGGCCCTCTTGGGGCCGTCTTGGGGGCCTCTTGGGCTGTCAAGGGGCCATCTTGGAGGCCTCGTGGGACAATCAGTGACATTTCTTCAGCCGCGGCGTTTCCGCCTGGCGCCGGCCTCCGAAGGGCCGCTCCCGGCCCCCCGCGGGCTCCTTTGAGAGCGGCCCGGAGCGGAACGCTATAGCCTCGGGGAGGCGGCCTGGACCCCCTGGGGCCCTTTCATGGAAAAATGCTTATCGGGGAGATGTGCCGAGACATGATCGCGTCGTTAAAAAATCATGACGGGAGGATTTTGGCCATTTTCGGCCTCGGGGGCCGGTCAAAGAACGGCTCAGGATAAAAAAATTGTCCCGGGGAAAGGGTCGGGACTTCCAGGGAACCCGTCCTGAAATAATGAGGACGTCGCATGTCTGGGTGAGATTCGAGTTCGCCAGAACTCGGGTTCGCCGCCGCTTCTTGGCGAGCCTGTCTTGGATCTTGACAGTGCAGTTTTGCTGTGAGTTCTGCAGCGGAGGGTTGCGTCAAATTTCAGATTGGGTCTCGTCATTTTCTTGACAGCCCCGTCAGGCCAACCCTAGTCCTCCGAACACTAGTCTTACGTTTTCCCGCACGTCGGATGTCTGGGTAATTTTCTCTAAAACCAGGAAATGTCAGAAACATTCGTTTTCGGTCGCACCGGGGCTGTACCTCCCCCCTCCCGGCCACCCTTGGCGGCGCGTCCAGGGAGGTGGTTCTTGCGCTCGACCTAAGAGGTCCTCGCGGACCTCCGAGTGTTTATTTTGATGCTTGTGCCTGGTGTTCTGTTGTCCTCATTATCCTCGTCCTCCTCGCCTCCTCATCCTCTTCCGCCTCCTCCTCCGACGCTGGGATGTCTAAGCTTCCACCGTCTGGGGAACCGAGCTTCCCAGACTTCGGGAGGCGGTGGATATGGATATCTTCGGGGCCTTGGGGCCCACATACCTGCAAGGAGGAGGACGGAGGAGGAGGAGGAAGAAGGAGAAAAGAGGAGGCGGGAGCAGGAACAAGAAGAAGGAAGAAGACGGAGGACGGAGGAGGAAGAAGAACGAGGAAGAATATGGGTGAAAAAAAGTAAGGGAGAAGAAGGAGGAGGAAGAACACGAAATAGTAAGAAAGAGGACGAAGAAGGATGAAGAAAAGGAGGGTGGAATAGGAGGAAGAAGTAAGAGGAGGGAGAAGAAGGATGAGGAAGAGCAAGGAGCAAGAAGGAGGAAACAACAAGGAGGACAACGAAGGAGGTATAAGACACATGGAGAAAGAAGAAGGGATAGGAATAATAAGGATGAGGAAGAAGAGGAAAGACGCAGAAGGAGGAAGACGAAGGATGAGGAAAACATATGAGGAAGAATAATAAGGAGTATCACTAATATGAATCACGATGAAGATCGAAGAGGAATAAGAAGCATGAGGAAGAACTAGGGGGGTGACAAAAAAATTGAAAGGAAAGATGGAATAATAGGAAGGAGGAGGAAGACGAAGGAGGAGGAAGAAGGAGGAATAATAACAATGAGAAAGCATGAGGATGGAGATGTCCAACGAGCAACAGTAAGGGGGAGAAAGGATTACTGGCAATAAGACTAAGGAGGAGGCAGAAGGAGGAACAATATAGATGGGGAAGAATCAGGGGGAGGAGGAGGAAGAACAAGGAACAATGACAAGAAGTGAGAAGAAGAGGGGGGAATATTGAGCAAGGAAGAAGAACCAGGGTGAGGGGCAAATAATAACATGGAGGAGAAGGAAGGAGGATGAAGACGAAGGAGGAGGAACATGGAGGAGAAAGAAGACGGAAATCAGAAGAAGACAGGAGGAGGACACATGAGGAAGGCGAAGTATAGGGCAGGAGAAAGAGAACAAACACGGAAAGAGGAAGGATGGGGAGGATGGAGAAGGAAGAAGGAGGAGGTGGATGAGAGAAAAAAAAACATGGAGAAGCAGATGAAGTAGGAAGAAAGAAGAGGAATAACCAGGAGGAGGAAGGGGAACAGCGGTAGAAGAGGGACATGCAATAAGGGGTAACAAAATGAAGCAGGAGGAAGGAAGGAGGTGGAGGAATCAGAAGAAGGATTGAGGTGGAGGAGGACGACGAAGAAGGATGGGGAAGATAGAGGCAGGAGACGGAAGGAGGAAGAGGAAGATGTAGGACGATTTGAGGAACAATGAGTAGGAGGAATGATAATGAGTAGGAGGAATAAACCGTAGAGGAAGAAGGAGAGGACGATTTAAGAGAAGGAAGATTTAAGGGAAAGGAATAATTGAAGGGACGATTTCAGGGAGGAATACTGTGTAGGAGGACGATTTAAGGGAAAGGAATAATGAGTAGGAGTAAGGATAAGGATGAGTGATCTGGAAGACGAAGGTGGAGGAGGAAGAACAAGGAGGATGAAGGAAAAGGCAGAGTGAAAAAGGCAGAGCAGGAAGAGAAGCAGAGATGGTGGGGGGAGAAGACGGAGGAAGAATAAGAAGGAGGAAGAAGATGGAGGATGCAACAAAGGAAGGGGATGAGGACTCAGAAGGAGGAGGAAGACGGAGGATGAAGAGCGGGGAGGAAGAAAGAGGTTCAAGATGACAATGGAGGAAGAAGAAGGCGGAATAATAAGACAAATAATAAGCAGGAGGAAGAAGATGGAGGATGAAACAAAGGAAGGGGATGAGGACTCAGAAGGAGGAGGAAGACGGAGGATGAAGAGCGGCGGAGGAAGACAGAGGTTCAAGACGAAAACGGAGGAAGAAGAAGGCGGAAGAATAAGACAAATAATAAGCAGGAGGAATAATAAGGAGGAGGAAGGAGACGGAGGAACAAAAATGTTGAAGGAAGAAGGGGGACGTCAAATGAATAATTAGACGGAGGAATATTAATAAGGAAGAATAATAGCGAGGAGGAACGAGGAGGACGAAGAAACATTATGATCAAGACGTAGAGGGGAGACAAAGGAGGTTGAAGAACAAGGGGGAGACAAAGGTAGAACAAGGAGGAGGAGGAAGAAGAAAGAGGGGGAAGAAGAAGGAACAATAATAAGGAAGGAGAAGAAGGAGGATGAAGGAGTAAGACGAAGGAGGAAGGAGGAGGAGGAAGAAGGAGGAAGGAGGAAGAAGGAGGAGGAGGAGGAAGACGAAGGAGGAAGGAAGGAGGAGGCGGAGGAAGAGGGAGGAAGCAGCAGGAGGCTGAAGGAGGCGGAAGGAGAAAAAAGCAGGAATATCAGGAAGGAGCAAGAGGGCGGCAGGAAGGTGCCCGGGGCCACGGGGTATAGGAGCCGCTTCTGACCGACGCAGCGCTGCTGTGCGCGGCTGGGGAGGCCCCTGCAGGCGGGCCGCGCGCCCGGCCGCACGCCCTCTCGCCGCGGCGCGCCCCCTCGCCGCGGCGGCCCCTCGCCGCCGCCGCCCGCCGCCGACGACAACGACGACGCGACGACGACGGCGACGGCGACGACGGCGGCGGCGTCGTCGCCGTCGTCGCCGTCGTCGCCGTCCTGCTCCTTCTCCTCCTCCTCCTCCTCCTCCTCCTCCTCCTCCTCCTCCTCCTCCTCCTCCTTTCCTGCCGTCAGGCCGAGGCAATTTTCAAATGCCTCGCCACCGCGGATAAGCGGTGCTGCCTGGGTTCCGTGTGGCACCGCCTGAATGCGGTGTGGGTCCGATGATGTCAGATCCTTATCCCGCCCGCGTTCCGGGTGCGATAAGGATAGGGCGGAGGGCGGCACCTCCCGCTGGGAGGTTCGTGGTCGTTCGTTGTCGTCCTTCGTGTCTCGTTTCGTCGTCATGTCCGTCGCCCTTTTCCTTTTTGGGAGTTGCGGCACGGCCCTGGATTAGGTTCCAGGGTGGACGTTGTTTGCGCTCCTGGGCCGGAGAGTGGCCCCCTCCCCCTCCCCCTCCCTGCTGCCGCTGCTGTTGCCGTTGCAGCTGTCAGGCCAGGGCTTTTAGTGCCCTGCCACCTCGGCCAAGAGGTGCGGCCTGGGCGCGGGAAGACCCCAGTGGCACCTCCTGGTCTGAGGTGCACCGCCGTTTGACGACCACGGAGGCGGTGCCCGCGGCTTTCCGCCTGTAACCTCTTGGTTGCAGTGCTCTTTGCCGCGGGCACACTGTTGCCGAGCTTGTGAGGGTGCGGGCGCTGGGCAACGCTCCGTGTATTGTCCCTTGGGCGCCGATCCCGAACCCCCGTGCGCCATTTTGGCGCGGGGTGTAGGGCGGTCCTTGGTTTGTTTTTTTCCTTGATTTCCTCCCTAAGGCACAGCGTTTCTGGCGCTATTGGGAGTTAGTCAAGGAAAGGAGGCCGGAGGTCAGGTCCCAGCTTGTGTCCGTGATCCCCTCTTTTTGCGCGTGTGCCCTTGGTGTTGGCCGTTGGCCACTTTGGCCGTTGGCCAGGGCGCGTTGGCCCGCGCTTTGCTGAGCGCCACGGTTTTGTTCTGCCTTTTGGGCCTGCAACATCCTCCTCCTTTCCCACTTCGGCCTTGCTTCTCCTCCCTCCCTCTCTCCGTCCTCGGCCTCGCCCTCGTCGTCGCCGTCGCTGTCGCCGTCGTCGTCTTCGGCGTCGTCGTCGTCGTCGTCGTCGCCTCGTCGCCTCGTCAATGCCGCCGCCACCCGCCGCCGCACCGCCGTCGTCGTCGTCGTGGCGTCGTGTTTCTTTCTTCTGCGCGGGCTCTCGCCGCCGCGGCCCGAGGCTTCTGGCCTGGGGGGGCAGGCGGGCACGGGAACCCGGGAGGGGTCCCAGGGGCCGCTGCGGACTTCGGGTCGACGGCGCCGCTCATGGAGCAGGAGGAGGAGGAGGAGGAGGAGGAGGAGGAGGAGAAGGAGGAGGAGGGAGGTGGAGGAGAAGGAGGAGGAGGGGGTTGGAGGAGGAGGAGGAGGAGGAGGGGGAAGAGGAGGAGGAGGGGGGGGGGGGGGGGGGGGGGGGGGGAGGGCGAGGCCGACGAGGAGAAGCACGAGGAAAAGCAGAAGGCTCGGGGATGGGATTTGGGTCGGGGGCTGGGGCGAGGTCGGGGACCAGGCGGCACGGCGCGCGCGCACGCAATATCTGAGCTCCTGGAGGACTTCCAGGCGTGGTCGTCGCCGTGGCTGTCGTGGTCCTCGTCGGTGTCGTCGTCCTCCGCGTTTTCCTCCTTCTGCCTCCGCCTACTCTCTCCTCCTTTTCCTCCTCATCCTCATCCTCCTCATCATCACCATCAGCATCACCACCAGTATCATCACCATCATCATCAGCATCATCTTCATCACCATCACCACCATCATCATCATCATCAGCATCAGCATCAGCATCAGCATCATCATCATCATCAGCATCATCATCATCACATCATCATCACCATCATCATCAGCATCATCCTCATCATCATCAGCATCATCACCATCATCATCATCATCACCCTTATCATAAACATCATTATCAGCAGCATCAGCATCAGCAGTAATAGCATCATCACCATCATCAGCAGCATCATCATTCTCCCCCTCCTCCATCCTCTGCCTCCGCAGACATTGCTGGTACAGTGTTACATCGAAGAGACATGGCGTGCATTCACAGCATCGTCCGTTATCCTTACACCTCATCTGTTCCATGTTTGTTGGACAGACTTGCTTGTACATGCGTGTGTTGCTTTTCTTCATGGCTCGGCCCTTAGACGCGCGTGCGCGTCTGCTTCTCTGACCTTTCTACGCCCTGTCGCCGCGCGCAGGGCCGCGACACCAAAAGTGTTGCATGTCCGACGTGTCCAATTCAATCCTCTTCCTCTCCGCCTTGCGTTGCTCCTCATCTCCACCCTCCTCATCACCCCCCTCTTTGCTTCTGCTCCCTGCTCCGCATCCACTCCTCGCTCATTCCTTTCCATCCTGCCTTCTTCTCGTCTTCCTCCGTCTCCCTCCTGAGTACACAGCTGCTTGCAGCAAGGCCCGCCACCTTGCCAGCCCAGCAGCCTGGGTGGCGATTGAATCTGTTCGGGTGGACAGGGAAGGACGTCACGTGCGCCTCCACGTACCCCCAGGCTTGGAAGAGCCGTGGTGAGGATTATGAGGATGATGAGCATGATGAGGCCGATGATGACGAAGATGGGGAGGAGCAGGAGGAGGAGGAGGAGGAAGAGGAGGAGGAGATGAGGAACGCCGTCACATGCGGCATCATTCGTCTTCACTTCGTGAGCATCTCTCATGCAGCTCGTTTGGGCCGTCTTGGGACTGTCTTGGCCTCCTGTGGGGCAGCCGCGGGGATCTTTCGGGGCCCTCTTGGGCAGTCTTCGGGCCCGTCGACAGGTTTTCTAAGGCCGTCTCGAGTTCCTCCGGCGTCCTTCGGTCGTCTTGGGATCGTCTTGGATGCTTCTTGGGCCTTTGGGGCTTTTGGGGCTGTCTTGGGGCCATCTTGGAACCTGCTTGGGCCGTCTTGAGCTGACGGAAGCCCGAAAAGGCGAGAATTCTACATTCCATCAACAAGCACAGGGAACTCGATGGTTCGGGCTTCTTCGGACCTGTGGGAGTCCTGCTTTGTCTCCTTTGGGCCCTCTTGAAGTATCTTGGACCGTCTTGAGTTCTTGAGGCCATACTGGGCCCCCTGGGGCCATCTTGGGCCGCATCGTCCACCATCTTGGGCCGTCATGTGAGCCAGTTTGGGGGGTCCCTTGGGCCGTGTTGGGGCTCTCTTGGCCGTATGGCGGGTGTCTGGGGGCTGTCGTGGGGCCGTATTGGCGCAGTCTTGGGCCTACGCGGACGCGATTATTCCCTACTCTAACCACTTTGTCCGCAGCGATTCCAGCCATTGTTTTTGCAGGTTTGGATGGGGCCTCCCGGATGGGTGGGCCACAGGAGGCCCCAGGAGGTTTCAGGAGGCCCAAAGAAGCCCCAGGAGGCCACAGGAAACAGTACGCTTCAGTCTGCCCCAGGAAGCCCCAGGCGGCCCAAGGCGGTCAAAGATAGCCCCAGGAGGCTTCAGGAGGCTCCAGGAAGCCCCAGGAGGCCCAAGGAGGCCCCAAGCGCCCGACAAATTGGCGAGCGAAAAATGTGCGCCGCGCCTTGGCGGGAGCGCCACTTTCAGCAAACATGTGCGCGGCGCCGAAGCGAGAGCGACATTCCGCCCTATCGCGCGGGGTGCGCGCCGCGCATTCCAATCCTGCCGCGCATCTCGCGACGTGGACCACAGGACGTCCATGCTGAGAGGAAGAACGTAGATGTTGTATTGTTCCTTGCAGGCTCGGAGGGGACCCCCCGGATGGTCCCGCCATCGGCCGGGGAGAGGGCAGAGTGGGAGTATGTACCAAGAGGGAGCTGGGATAGGAGTAGGAGACGGAGTATGTAGGGCAAGGTCGCAGTGACCGAAGGAAAGAGGGTCAAGGCGGGGCAGCAGCAGCAGGGCGGGGAGGGGGGGCGGATGCGGGGCGGCGCCTGATGACGGCCGCGTCGAACGCCCCGCGGCGGGCCGCGGCCGCGGCGCTCTCCCCCTTGTCTCTCCGTTCCCCCCGCTCCTGCCGCTCTCCACCCCGAACGCAGCTTCCAGGCAGGAGGCCTTTTCCCGATCCTGGTCAGATTATGAGAGCCTGCTCTGTTGAGATTATAACTGCACACAATGGCCAGCTCTCGCAGCTGGTTGGTGCTATAACACCCGCAAACTGAACATAACAAAACATCCTGGTCGGGCCAGAAACGAAGCTGGTGGGTGGGGTGCAACTCCTTCGAGCGGACACACACGGCCCCCGTGGGCCGAAACACCGCCCCCGTCCAGGACATCGGGCGGCAAGGGGTCCCCAAAAGCCGTGAGCTCGGAGGCTTTGGCACGGCACCCACATCTGCGGCACTGCCCGAAATCACCAGCAATCTGCGGGCAGGCGCGCTCGGAACGCAGGGCCACCGTGCGAAGGAGCTTCGCACGAGTGTGCCGTGCACGGACTGCGGGGGGACGTGGGGGGCTCTTGCCTTCAGTCTCCAGGACCTGGCACAGAACCTCAAGCAAGTGGTTCTGAATATTGCGGGTGATGGCATCAGCCATCTGAACCGAGGAACTGACACTGAAAGGGACCTTGACATCCTGCCCGAAAGCACCAGCGATCTGATCCGCGATCGCGTTGGCAACAACAAAACTCGGACAGAGCCCCTTCTCGAGTGCCTCCTTGGTCTCCAGGTGGCTCGGAACCGGAACGAGGAGCAGGTCCCTGACACTGAGCAGCTCACGCACACGAGACCACAAATCGCGGTGATTGCTCACACGGGCAAACCGCTCCAAGGCACCAGAAACAGGGCTACGGGCAACATAAGCAGAATCGGCCACATAGCCGAACCTCACACCCTCTGGGCTTAGCTCTAAAAACTTCACCAGGGCCCAGAGCCCCCCACGG